GAGACGAAAATGATAAACATGGAGGAGGAGGGTGAGGAGGAGTAGGAGTGGGGGGAAGGGTACCCAGCAATACACAGTGAAAAATCTTGTCAGTGTGTTAGCGGTTTAGGGTCGTATATGACAGCTTTATTGTATACTTTCCAGGACGTTGAGATTTTGTGTCAGAATGATACCAGGTCTTCTAGGGTAATAGTGTGGATTGTAAAGCGCCTACAGCTTGCTGTCGAGCGCGGATTTGCGCTATACATTGTCTATTGTTACTTCGATTGTAACAATCGTACCTTACGTCTTCATTAACGCAATCTAAATATTTAGGACTCTGGCTGCTTCGGTGCGGTCAATTTGGGGTTTATGAGCTACACAATTCCAGCACTGGCGTCTGTAGTGGTACAGTAAGGCGCTTCGCTGTTGCATGCAGAAGACTTATGCACTTGAAGGGAGGTGTTATATTTAACCCTATCCGTACGTCGTGTTTTACTATCATATCCATACAACGTGGGGAACTCTGTACCACCATTTTCCAGAGCGGAAATTTACTCATTAATCCGATCCGTACGCTTTGCATAGCAGTCTGTCAAAATGATTTTTCGAGAAATACTGAAAGTTTCAAAGAGATCATCGCGCTAGAAGTATTCTAAAATGCGAAGAATACAACCCTTGAGGGCGTACGGATAGTTTTAATCGCATTACTCCGTCTACTTGCAGGCAGTGTAGAAGCAGCCCGCCTCCTCAATGATTGTGTCGATGGTGGTACAAACATAGTATACAGTTACAGGATACCAGCAGACAGACTCGAAAAAAAAACTTAAAAGAAAATGGACAGCGCGTCTTCAGCGTGGTTTGTTATAGTAAACGTTAAACGCACTTACTACACTCTATCTCTTGCCCTTTTTTAACTCCCAGTGGAGCTTAGGCCATCAACATTTCTTCAGTGAAGCATGTCCTGTGCGTCCTTTTCTGGCTGTTTCCATGATGTCCTCGCATTTTCCATGTCCGCATGTATCGCTCACGTCCAATGTTGTCCTTGGTCTTCCTTTCTTACGTTTTCCACTTGCAATACATTTAGTCATATCATTTATAAATGCCGAAGAATAGAGGTGTTACAAGAGTGTAACAAACACATAAAAGGAGGAGGAAAGATAATGACGATATATTTTTTTTATAGGAAAGAAGGAAAAAAACAACCACACCCAAGCGCTCATAATACTTGGTCGCTTTTAA